ATACAGATATTTGTTATATTTTCTGTTGTTAATTAAAAGTAGTGATTTCAGTCGGGACTTTAAATTAAGATTAAAAATTGATTAAATTAATCCACGCTCTTTTGTTTTGATTTGGAGGCGGACGTGACGTGACGATTTACGTTTAATTTCGCACAGCATTGTGAGTGGTAAAATACAATTCATTTCCTAAAAGCACGCATCCGATCCATACTGCATGAAACCTGGAAGTTAGTATCCATACTGAAATGTTCAGTATACTGAGGTGGACCCAAAAAATGCATATTGAATGACCACGAAAGTTCAGTATACTGAAACTCCATACTGAATAATACGTACTGCATACTGAACTGTGACAATTCGGAAAGGGCCCCCGTGCTCTGTGCTGACTCATTAACTAACTTTCAGAGGTAGTGAGAGGTTCTCCCTGCAGTTTCTGGAGTTGTTTGTATGTATCTATAAACACCAACTAAAAACTTTCTGTATTAGATTTTCATTGCCCGTCTCCCAGAGTATAACTTCGGATGCTGGTTCGTTTTAACTCCAACCTTTTGTGTTATCAAAGGTCTCCCTGGTAGCCTTTGCTTTTTTTTTCATGTTTTCTGGGTCTCCTGGACAATTTTGGTTTTGAGGCAGCTGCTTGGCAGCAGTGGTTTAGTTAATCATTTTGATTACTTATGTAGGTTTGGAATCCTGTTGTGGCTGTATACAGTTTTGTTGTTTTTCCCCCCACTTTCCAATCTATTGCTAATGCGATTTTGTGGTTATCTTTCTGGGATAACTTTGAGACACCCCTGGGTCCGCACCTGTGTCCCAATCCCCTCCCCCCCCCACCCTTCCTGACGCGTTGTCCATCTGTATATACAGTCAATGGTTCACATACATCTAAATATAGAATGACTCGTGTACCTGTGCAATCTGACCAGAGAAACACAAGACAACTTTTTTTTAAAAACTTGGTGGATTCAAACATTTGACAAAATCAAAATTGTATGCCTATGTCATGATATCTTGGAGAAAACTGAATTTAAATTTTTCAAAACTACACACTGAATTGTAGAAGAAAATGTTGCAGAAAAGTAGTGTGACAAAGGTGTCCTGGCAAACTGTTAAAAAAAAGTTGAAGTATTTTTTAGAAGAATTGGCGCAATTGGTGCTAAGACAGTAAATGTAATTTACTGTTTAGTAATATTTAATATTGATAAACAGATTATCATGTATTTTTCATTTAAATCACAATTCTGTAGGTAATCAAAATCTGATCAATAAAAAATGAATGCAGTGAATAAAAAACAATATTTGTGTCTGATTTGTTATTATGAATTACTATAAAAATGATGAATGATTGTAATGTATGAATGTATTTCAGCCAGATGCCTCCCCGTAAAAACTGCACATACTCCTTTTTATTCTTGTGTTTTAAACTCCAACAGAATACAAAATGTCCATCCCTTCTGTCCTCACACTGGGTAAAATTGGTGTCACTTACACTGTAATACAACTTTATATAGAGCTGTGAGTGTTACTCTATAAGGTAAGGTGTGTGAAGAGGTATATTGGATCTTATTATTAATAAAAACATAAATAAGACAGAAGTTATAGAGCGATATTACGACTTCTAATTTTAATTTTAAAATGAGTTGACTTCTGAGTCGTCCTAACTTCAGCCATGGGAAGTGTTTTTAATCTGATTGATCCCAACATCCTGCTGCAGTGATGTGATTGGCTCTTCAGTGACCAATGAGCATGGTCAGAGAGCAGGGCAGCTCTCCTGACTGTGAATATAAACCAGAGCTTCAGGTAAGGTTTCTCATCGACAAGATCACTCAGCAACCATGAGGTCTCTAGTCTTTGTTCTGCTCATTGGAGCTGCTTGTGAGTGTGAACCTCTTTCCCTTTCAGGCTTAGAGTCTACTAACCTTTATCCCTGAACTTTATCAAAGCCTATCCCAAAAGGGGTTTTGATTTGATGACGTTCAAAGTGATCTCTAACCATCCTCAGTTCTCCAATGAATAATGCAGACTTGGGGTTTAACGAAATATTAAGGAAAAATACAAAGTAGCCTTTATTTTGTGGAGAATGTTTGACATCTTTAAACCAACAACTAACAAGTGGATATGTGTGCATTTTCAGTCGCCATCGACGACGACAAGATCGTCGGAGGGTATGAGTGCACCCCCCACTCCCAGCCCCATACGGTCTCTCTGCAGTCTGGCTACCACTTCTGTGGAGGCTCTCTGGTCAACGAGGACTGGGTTGTGTCTGCTGCTCACTGCTACAAGTCGTAAGTACATTCCTCATGTTTTCTTCAGGTGTTTGCAGCTTCATTATTTATAATCATTTCTGTGTGCTTTTTTCTAATCCCCCACTTCTCTTTCTTTTTTAGTCGTATTGAGGTTCGTCTTGGAGAGCACCACATCAGGGTGAACGAGGGAACCGAGCAGTTCATCAGCTCCTCCCGCGTCATCCGCCACCCCAGGTACAGCTCCTACAACATCAACAACGACATCATGCTGATCAAGCTGAGCAAGTCCGCCACCCTCAACCAGTACGTGACGCCTGTGGCTCTGCCCACCAGCTGTGCCCCCGCTGGCACCATGTGCAAAGTCGCCGGCTGGGGCAACACCATGAGCTCCAGTGAGTAACTAATGCTGCATTGACTTCTTAATCTGTAGGTCTGTAATGCATTGTAGCTCCATTTTGATCTCTGCATTTCTCTGTTGATTCTCAGGTGCTGACGGCAACAAGCTGCAGTGCTTGAACATCCCCATCCTGTCCGACAGGGATTGTGATAACTCTTACCCCGGCATGATCACTGACGCCATGTTCTGCGCTGGATACCTGGAGGGAGGCAAGGACTCTTGCCAGGTATGTCATTTAATGTTCAGAAAGAAATACAGGAATAACTATGTGAATTATCTTGTTTGACCTTTGAAGGTTTATTAAACCTTTGAAATCCTTCACTCTCTGTTCTCAGGGTGACTCTGGTGGCCCCGTTGTGTGCAACGGTCAGCTGCAGGGTGTTGTGTCCTGGGGCTACGGATGTGCCGAGAGAGATCACCCCGGTGTCTACGCCAAGGTACACCTAAAATATCTCTTCATAATATGCACAAGTGCCCAGTAATGAGTCATCACTGAAGCTGTTGTGCTAAAACCTTGTTCTGTCTCTGTTTGTAGGTCTGCCTCTTCAACGACTGGCTGGAGAGCACCATGGCCAGCAACTAAGTGATCAAAGTTGATCATCAAGTTCAGTCAACAGCTCAACACCCTGTCTGTTCATGTTCCATCTTTTTGTACTGGACACTATGACAAATAAAAAAAATGAAAGTACAACACTTGGGTCTACTTTGTGACATTATTTCCCAGGACAGAAATTAAAAAGTTAGCTCTCTTTTACAAATCTGAATTGATTCTTTCTTGTGACTTTTTTAATACAATGACTGAGATCTCAGATGAGACAGGACAGCAGGTTCAGATTGACCAAATGGCAATCTCATTTATTTAAAAAAAAAAAGCCAACATATAAGTCTAAACAACTGCAGTACTTTTAGTGTCCACATGAGGCTCATTCCAAAAACCAAGGAATCCCCATCAAGTCCCAAATTAAAATGTCGATTTTTACAGAAGAAATACACCTTTAGAAATGGTTTTGGTCTCTATGGTTAAATTCTTCATCATTTAAAACTGTGCAGGAGTTGGATTTTTGATGACTCATTAAAATCAATTATATTAAGGCCAAGAGTAATTAGGCATAATCATGGTCAAGGCATTAAAACATGAGGAGTTTTTTTAAATTATTTATTTCATGCTATAAAAGGTATAAATTGACAAGATCTACAGCTCTGATAATAAATGTAACTCCTTAGGCATCGTGTAGAGGAGAAACGACGAGAGGAAATTTAAAAAAAAACTAAAACGATTCATTGAATTTCTTTAACTGTGAGTGTCAAACAGACACAATATTCACTCTGGTGTGGACTGCAGAGAGCTGAGGGATATTTGCTTTTTTATCAGCAAGTTACATTAATGAAATGTGTTTTTGTTAGCAGAAGCGACGGGATATCAACACTGAGCCCGTCTGCGCAGGCTCTGGCTCTCAATACACATTATGTTAGCGCCCGTCAAGGGGCTATTTCTAACTAATCTTTGTACAATGGGAGGAGGTTGAGGCGCATTGTCCATCTGTATATACAGTCAATGGTTCACACACTTCTAAATATAGAGTGACTCATGTACCTGTGCAATCTGACCAGAGAAACACATGCCAACTTTGAACAAAAAGAGGTGGACTCTAAAGTTTAGCAAAAAAATAGTTTATCTTAATAATCTTTGGAAAACAAAAGTGCACTAAAATCTTTGACTTGAAGAAAATAAGTAGGGGACGTATTGTGACAATATGCTTTTGCAGAATGTTAAATCATTTATGTTTTTATATCAGGGAGATTGGGAGCCGCTGGTTTTAAGATGAATTTCTTATGCTGCTTAATAGGAATAAAATTTAAGAGCTCATTATGTGCTTTCCTTTTCTGAAGGGTGATAACAACTCAATGCTGATGATGATATTGGAGTTGATGAAAAAACAAGTGACAACTGGAGTGTAATGTAAGACTGTTTTTCCAACACAGGCTTGACACTACAACCTGCACATAACCTTTTTATTCCTGTGTCTTAATCACAAGTTTTCTTAACACAATACAAAATGTTCATCATCTTTGTCATCATCTCACTCCACATAGAACAACTCTTACTACTAAAATATTAAATGAGGGCTGTTAAAAGGCAAGTTGTGTGAACGGGTTCAATGTAACACCCTGTTTGGATAATATGGGTGTTTTAATTTTACAAATACTTAAAACAGAAGAAAGCAGATCTATATTCAGAATTTCCCTTCTGATTAACAAAACCTGCTGACACCACAACTATATTATCTTGCCACCTGCACTTTTTCCTGCTGCAGTGATTGGCTCTTCAGTGACCAATGAGCATGGTCAGAGAGCAGGGCAGCTCTCCTGACTGTGAATATAAACCAGAGCTTCAGGTAAGGTCTCTCATCGACAAGATCATTCAGCAACCATGATGTCTCTAGTCTTTGTTCTGCTCATCGGAGCTGCTTGTGAGTGTGAACCTCTTTCCCTTTCAGGCTTAGAGTCTACTAACCTTTATCCCTGAACTTTATCAAAGCGTTTTTGATTTGATGACGTTCAAAGTGATCTCTAACCATCCTCAGTTCTCTAATGAATATTGCAGACTTGGGGTTTGACTAAAACTTGAGAAAAATAGATATTCTTTCTCAAAGTAGCCTTTATTTTGTGGAGAATGTTTGACATCTTTAAACCAACAACTAACAAGTGGATATGTGTGCATTTTCAGTCGCCATCGACGACGACAAGATCGTCGGAGGGTATGAGTGCACCCCCCACTCCCAGCCCCATACGGTCTCTCTGCAGTCTGGCTACCACTTCTGTGGAGGCTCTCTGGTCAACGAGGACTGGGTTGTGTCTGCTGCTCACTGCTACAAGTCGTAAGTACATTCCTCATGTTTTCTTCAGGTGTTTGCAGCTTCATTATTTATAATCATTTCTGTGTGCTTTTTTCTAATTCCCCACTTCTCTTTCTTTTTTAGTCGTATTGAGGTTCGTCTTGGAGAGCACCACATCAAGGTCAACGAGGGAACCGAGCAGTTCATCAGCTCCTCCCGCGTCATCCGCCACCCCAGGTACAGCTCCTACAACATCGACAACGACATCATGCTGATCAAGCTGAGCAAGTCCGCCACCCTCAACCAGTACGTGACGCCTGTGGCTCTGCCCACCAGCTGTGCCCCCGCTGGCACCATGTGCAAAGTCGCCGGCTGGGGCAACACCATGAGCTCCAGTGAGTAACTAATGCTGCATTGACTTCTTAATCTGTAGGTCTGTAATACATTGTAGCTCCATTTTGATCTCTGCATTTCTCTGTTGATTCTCAGGTGCTGACCGCAACAAGCTGCAGTGCTTGAACATCCCCATCCTGTCCGACAGGGATTGTGATAACTCTTACCCCGGCATGATCACTGACGCCATGTTCTGCGCTGGATACCTGGAGGGAGGCAAGGACTCTTGCCAGGTATGTCATTTAATGTTCAGAAAGAAATACAGGAATAACTATGTGAATTATCTTGTTTGACCTTTGAAGGTTTATTAAACCTTTGAAATCCTTCACTCTCTGTTCTCAGGGTGACTCTGGTGGCCCCGTCGTGTGCAACGGTCAGCTGCAGGGTGTTGTGTCCTGGGGCTACGGATGTGCCGAGAGAGATCACCCCGGTGTCTACGCCAAGGTACACCTAAAATATCTCTTCATAATATGCACAAGTGCCCAGTAATGAGTTATCACTGAAGCTGCTGTGCTAAAACCTTGTTCTGTCTCTGTTTGTAGGTCTGCCTCTTCAACGACTGGCTGGAGAGCACCATGGCCAGCAACTAAGTGATCAAAGTTGATCATCAAGTTCAGTCAACAGCTCAACACCCTGTCTGTTCATGTTCCATCTTTTTGTACTGGACACTATGACAAATAAAAAAATGAAAGCACAACACTTGGGTCTGCTTTTTGTGACATTATATCCAAGAAGAGCAAAGTTAAAAAACTTTGCTCTCTCAAAAATCTTTTATTTTTATTTTTTAATGCCTGAGTTTCCAGCTCAACTCTTTTAGTTTTTCCAATGAATGCAGTCTAATTAGAAACTTTTACAGCCCTTTTCAATGATTGTGTATTGTACAGGGTAAAGGTTGGTGGTGCCATCTTTAAAGTGCAGAGAAGTTAAATATCCAAATCTATCAAATTATTAATAAAGGGTATCTTGTATAATATATGACCTTTAAACTAAATTATGTCATGTGATAAATCACAGAGATTAAAGACAAAAGAGTCATTTTATTCCCTTTCAGATTGATATGAATTAATTTGGGTTTTAAAAACAGGAACAGAACGGTCTTTGTTCTGAATGTCCTGCTTAGAGTAAATTATGATGATGATGTAGCGTCTCCTTGCTCATAGGTTTAGATCTTCCATACATGAGCACACATTTGTCCACATCTAAAAGCAACATACGTTTTTCTTCTAAATACAAGCATTGAGTTTAGAAATATGCTCATCCTTTTAGCATTTGTCAGAAAAAATCATTTTCAAGAAAGAAATGACTTGAAGAATGTGTCTGAATTTTTTCCACATAACTTTGAAACAAAATAAACTTATAACAGAGAGGACATGCAACTTTTCAAATTTCTCTTCCACCAAATATGTGAAAGGAAGGACTCACTGCCAGGTCTGCAATACTGAATAGAAATATTTTGGAAAAAATTTAAAAAGCAGTATAATTCCTCTTCAGATTATTGTTGCATGCTGACATTGATGAATGGGCTGTTGCAACATCTGAGCTCTTCCTTCCCCGGCGTATAAAGCATTCTGCACTCAGGAGATGGGAAATCAAAATTAGAGAAGTATTCAAGTTTTTCAACCAATGACAAACTAAAAAATGAACACAAACACATTAAAACTATCCATGCAGATCTATTCACTTGTGGGCACAGTTTGTGTTTCTGTATGTATCTTGTATTAATGGAAACAGAAAGTTGAGGATGCAAAAGTCAAGTCCCACACTGTGCAGCGTTGAAGTGTAGTGAACCACATGGAATTGAACCAGAAGTTCAATCAAAGTACATTCAGCTGTAATGTGCCTTATATTTCTCGCATGGTGATTAATGTTGTATTTTCTTTTTGGCAATTTCTGTGCAGTTAGTTACCGAGGAAAGACTGAGGCCACAAATGGAAAGTAATATTTCTTATACTTTCTTATTCATCTTATACTTGAACCCATTTGACAAGCCCCGTCCCCTTTTTCATTTTGACCACAGGCTGTGCAAGACAATACATTCGTCCTAAGTTTTTATTATTGAAAATTATAAACAAATATTCTTCAAATTTGATGTACTCCAATTTGGGAGTGACCCTATTAAATAAGTCATCCTGCTCGGTCCCCCCCCCCCCCCCCCATCCGACTGAACAACATTAAAAAGCTGACATTTTGTGCACCTTAACATGCATGGTTGGCTATTTTGGTTTGAATATGGTCTATAAATAAGTGGACACATTTGCAATACATTTTTTTAAGAAACCTTGTTAAGAATTCCTCACCACATGTCTGTTGGCAGTATGATCATTTTATAACAAAGTAGTTTCAAACCTCTTTTTCTTCTTCTTTTCTTTCTCCCTCTGGTGTTTCTGCTGTGGCTCAACATTTATTTAGAAGAAATTGGAAGCCTGCAAAGCTTTCACAGAAGCGTCCCCCACACTGACTCTGAGTTCGGGTTTGCTCACAGCTTATGTCATTTTATGATTGTTTTTGTTTTTACAGTGCAGTAACATTGACATTGTGATTATTTGACTTCAAGTATTCAGAAAATAGAAACATAGGTACCTAAAAGCATCTGTCCTGGGAGCAGATGGAGCACTACTGTATTGTCAACAATAATAAACACACTGATGCATCACAAAATGTTAGATTTTATTGATTGTGCCCAGACTAAACATCTCCCTCTCCATCTCTCTCTCTCGGTTTCTGTTTGTTTCTCTCTCTTCCTCCTCTGCTCTCCTGCTGCTCCTCTTTCTGACACTTCCCACCAACATCTCCTGTCTCTGTCTCCTTCAATTTCGCTCAACCTCTGGTTTCCCCTCCGTCATGTAGCTCTGTGATGGGAGATCAGAGCCTAGCTGTATCTGGTAAGAGTATCGTTGATCCAGGGCATCAGAGAGCAGACTTTGGTGTAAACGCCCGGGTAGTTGGGCAGAGCGCAGCCCTGCCCCCAAGAGACAATACCATGCAGCACCTCATTACACACCAAAGGACCACCAGAGTCACCCTGAGCAGGAAGGAGGAAGGGGGAGAAGAGAGGATTTAATGCCTTCCATTATCTTATACCATTAAAGGAGTATTTTACATCACCACAGACCATCAAACCTTTTTGGATGTGCTGTGTAATTGTGTGAAAGTACCTGACAAGCATCTTTGCCTCCCTCCAGGTATCCGGCACACACCATGCGGTCAGTGATCTTGCCAGGATAGGAACCTTCACAGTCTTTGTCAGACATGATGGGGACTCTCACACACTGAAGGTTGAACGGGTTGAACACTGCGGATAAGAGCAGGAGAGACAGATCATGAGGGGATGATGAAGTCAGTATTTGTTTTTACCTTAAGCTGGCAACATCAGCAAAGAAAATTAGACTTATGTGGCTATCTTCAATAAAGATATGAAAGAAGCTTTTAGCACTATGTCAGGTATTTAGACATGTGTTGCATATTTACTTATAACCTACTTGTAAAAACGAAAAAAAGAAGAAAAAAACATCTTTGAATGAAAAAAAAAAAGCCAAATGAATAGCTGAGGAGTGCTTCCTCACAAATGAAGGTTTCAAAGACACGTGCTCTTTGGATTCAAGGAAAAATCATAAAATCAAAAAGTTGACTTGTGGCGCATGCCCTGATGAAGACTAGCCCATATATTCATTTTCACAAAGCAGCGTGTTTTGGAATTTTTCGGTTATGACTCATTGACCCCCAAGCAGAACTCAAGTCTAATCTGTGGGCGACAGTCGGCAAGCAATCCACATTTTCTACCATGCTACATTAGCTAAGCTCTCGAAAAAACTGCCAGCCTAAGTTCTTAATTAGCACATTTAGCACTTTGTCCCTCTCTTTCATACGCTAACAATCCCAACATCCACTCATTACAGCAAAGATATGACATATTGATTATAGATAGATACAATGATACAATATAGATTAAATTGTTTTACTATAGTTTTGTATATATTTTGATACTGTCTAAATAAATGTTTATCTCTGTCGTTATCTTTGTGGTATCCCTTTTTTTGTCGGCACTTAAAGTAACTTCATGTCTCTCAGTTAAAGGTTAGACTTGGTTTGGTTGTCTTGTGTCCAAAGAATGTAACATTTGCTTTAAACAAAAATGAATAGTTATTTAAGGCTTTTTTCCCCAAAGCGTTCAGACCTACAGAAGGCCAGGAGTGCAATAATTAATCTCCTCTCATCAAAAAACATGAAACAAGAACATAAAAACACACACAAAAATGTATTTATTTAATTTATATTTTTACCCTTCTTATTGATTTTGAATGTCAATTACATGATAGCTCACCTTCATCTGAGTAGATGTTCCCCCATCCGGACACCGTACACATGTCCCCAGCTGTGGGGCAGGCAGTGGGCAGGGCGACAGGTTTGACGTATTGGTTCAGTGTGGCTTTATGGGACAGCTTCATCAGCATGATGTCGAAGTCCAGGGTCTTGTAGTCGTAACTCTCATGCCAGTAGATGGCATCGACAGACATGTACTGCTCTGTGCCCTCATTCACCCAGATGTGGTGATCACCCAAGACAGCAATCTGTGTGTAGGGGCTGGAATAGTGACGAAAACACAAAATTGGCATAAGTATCTAAAAATTTTAGTTTGTACTGAAAACTTTTAAAAAAATGTAAAAGTAATACAAACTTCTGCCAGCAGTGGGCAGCAGAGATGATCCACTGGTCGTTGATGAGGGAGCCACCACAGTAGTGGTAGCCAATATTGATAGACACCTGCCAGGGTTGACCATGTTTTGAACACTCGTAGCCACCCACAATCCTGTCATCTGTAGGGGCTGCAGCTGTTGGGTAAAGGAAACAAAAATGTTTTACTCATAATTGTAACAGTTTTTTTTACCCTGTATGACTGGTATATGCAGATTTGCTTTACCTGCAGCACCCAAGAGTGCGAGAACAATCAGGCCAATCATCTTGAGGCTAACTCAAGCCCTCCTACGACTAGACTAGATGAGTGATCAATCACTCACTGCATTTATACCTTAACTCCTCAGTGTCTTCCATGCACCACCTCCCCCTTTCTCAGTTACTCCAAACCTCCACCCACCCTTCAAATGTTTGTCCACTCCTCCTGGCCCAGTCCCTATCCCCCAAAACATAACCTTATCTTCTTATGTTCCATGTTCATTCTTTAGAGTTAATAAGTGAGCCACATCTTGCACATTTTTGGCTTAGGTTTTTTCAGTTTTTGACAGCTCATTTGGTAGATTTTCTGCACCGTCCCTCTAAATAAATGTCTTTTCTTTTCATCGGCTACACATGTGCGAGCAGCTTTTTAACAGACACTGCATTTATATTAACTATCCATTTTGTGTGGCTACATATTGTGAAATAAAACAGTAAGGAATGATTTAACCTTAAGCCATTAAAGCGTAAAGACTATTGAGTGCCGCCTGACAGAGAAAATGAAAAACAGGCTTCAGCAGGTTGTTTGTTTTCTTCTTCTGAGACCACAGATGACTTCTTTCTCACCCATCTTGGCTTTCTTTCAAGGGCGTCCAAAAGTGGAGCCGTAAACAGGCACATTTATCTACTTTTTTCTCAGAAACTAATGATTCACCAAATCTCTGCCAACAAAGTCTCCAGGCTGAAATCAAGCCGCTTTATAAATTGGAACAAGCCTTTAAATAAGTTAACTTTATTCCAGAGTGAGCCATGAGGGAAACATAAACAGGCGATAAATGTGTGGAGACCTTGGTCCACATTGTAAATAAGGTGCACAGATGACATAATCACAGGGGGTGTGCTACGATGGGACAGAAGTGGGCAAACAAAAAAAATTGGAGCATGATAAGAAATAAGATTTGGGTTGACACTTAGCGTCAAGAGGGAAAACAGTGTGTGAAGACACAGATGGGGTCAACAGGAGTAGAGAGAAGAGGCGGGAGGAGCAGAATGAGCACAGTGGGGCTGCTGGGATATAAATACGAGCCAGGGAGTGTACAGGTGTCTTCTGAGCATTCACCTGACAACATGACACTGCTCGCTCTACTGCTGATGGTTGGAGCTGCTGGTAAAGATAGAAACACACACTTAGATACTGTATATAAACTGCATTTAGCACACACTTAGCCACATGTGTACCTTAAGCTCAGTGTCTGATACATTAGAATGGTAAGCTGTTTCTTAAAAACCCTTTGTCTCCTCATGTGTGTTTGTTTGTGTGTGTTCAGCGGCAGTTCCCCGCGAAGATGGCAGGATCATTGGCGGACAGGAGTGTGAGCCGCACTCCCGTCCTTTCATGGCCTCCCTAAACTATGGTTACCACTTCTGTGGTGGGGTGCTCATCAACAAGCAGTGGGTGCTCTCTGTTGCCCACTGCTGGTACAAGTAAGTATGTAGGCTACTGACTGAGAAATATTATGGACACATTACCTTCGGTTGTCAGGTTCCATTCCTCCCCCTACACGTCTGGATTCAATTGTATGCATTAGACTTCGTGGAGAGTTGAAAATAAATACATCAGAATCAGAAGTTGGAAGACTAATGGTTCAGTCAAGACAAAGCTTATAGAGTTGTGCAGTCTAAGTAGAATAGAGAAAGACTGAACAAACCAAATGCATTTCGGCCTTTCATATTTTGTGAGTGTATTTCTGCTCCTTTCTCAGTCCCTACGCAATGCAGATCATGCTGGGAGAACACGATCTGCGAACCTTTGAGGGCACAGAGCAGCTCATGAAGACAGAAACCATCATCTGGCACCCTAGGTGAGTGAAGAAATGAACCGTCCAGTGTGAGAATCGCTTTACATAATTTAACGATCCTCTTTTTTCATTCACTCATACATTCAGTGAAGAGAAACACAGTGAATCTTTGATATTACTTTACACGTACGTCCTCTATTTGCAGTTATGACTATCAGACGCTGGATTACGACATTATGCTTATCAAGCTCTTCCACCCGGTGGAGGTGACCGAGGCAGTCGCACCCATTCCCCTGCCCACAGGCTGCCCAATGGGTGGGCTCCCCTGCTCTGTGTCCGGCTGGGGAAACACGGCCATGGATGGCGAGGAAGGTGCTAGCAAGATGCATTACATGCTCCCTCAATGTTTTATACATAGGCTTGCACTTTAGGTCACCAAAAACAGGATAGGGTCAAACACCTGCTGAGACAAAGTCTTAGTTTATATTTGCAGAACTTCACCATTCATACTCAAGTTTCACTCAATGTTAAACGAAAGAGCGTGTCAGTAGAAGGGAATGTTTACATGTTTTATTGGTAGATTGTAATCATTGGGAGGCATATATATATATATATATGAAAGTGCAAACTGACCATGCCCCTTTTTTCCAAAATGTTAGACAACAGAGAGCCGCACCATCCACTAGCAGATCCCACAAATCCAACCCTTAGTGTTTATTCTGTTTATTCAGCTCTGGGCTTTAAAAAGGTCTCCAAATAATACTATAGTCTGAGAAACTGGAAAGAAATTGTGTTGCTCTTGCTAAAGAAAATTATTGAAAAACTAAAGCATAATTGTGACCCTTATTTGTAGTTTTTAGAATAGAAACTGAATATAAGTTTGAATGGGAGTGATTTTGGCTTTGGGATGATATTTGCAGTCAGACTGAAGAAATGAACAACCTGATTGTTCGAGTTGTTGTTGGCAGTAGAAAAAAATGAATCTTCCCAATCTTCCTTTGATGCATTATAGATTTCTCATGTTTTATTCCCCTCTCTGTCTGTTTCAGTGAACATGCCGTTCCATCTGCAGTGTCTGGATGTGCCTGCGGTGGATGACGCGGTCTGTGAGAATGCCTATCCTGGTATGATTACAAGCAGGATGTTTTGTGCTGGATACATGGACGGAGGCAGAGATGCATGCAATGTGAGTTTTTTCAGTAAATATATTACAAAGTCTGATTGGACCCAGCGCTTTCTGGCTCACACGCTCTCTTCTCTGTTGTGTCAGGGTGACTCTGGCAGCCCTCTGGTGTGTCTTGGAGAGGTCTTTGGCCTGGTGTCATGGGGTCAGGGATGTGCCCAGCCCAACTACCCTGGAGTCTACGTCAAAGTGTGCGAGTTCTTGTACTGGATTGAAGACGTCCTGGCTGACAACCCCTAAAGAAATGACCCTTTTATCACTTGCTTTTCCTCCACCCGTTCCTCTCTATCCTCCAGCCTTTATGACATCTAATTTTCTTTTAGAGCCCTGACTTTTATTTCTCTCTCTCTCTCTGGTGACTCCTCTGAAGTGTTCTCAACACACATAAACCAGAATGAAGAAAACAAAATAAAAACCACTTGATGTTCACTTCTCATTTCCCTGACCCCAATAAATTTAACAACTTAGAAGTTTGAGCTTGTGTAGCTTTCAGGTTTATTAGTTTGATGTTAGAACCATATGAAACTGTTTGTTGGAGTTAAACAGAGGCCTTTGTGTACTCTTACAACTTATTTCATGAACAAACGTATGACATGGTTTCAATTGACAATGTAGAATTCATTCAATAGCTCCATTCCTTTGACTGTTTTGTGACATTTACAAATAAAAACCCTCTTATTCAGTAAATCATTCAATGATAGAGAAGTATTTCAGTGACACAAGGTTCAGAAATCAGTACTGAACCTACTGTGGCGATAATGGCAGTGTGATTATTGGACAGCAGGAGGCCTCACTAAGAATAGTTACTGAGAGTACCACACACTCATCTCGATCTCATCAGTGCAGCAGACACATGGGTATTCGCACATGACACCAAAAACCTACATTTACACTCTCTAAGGACCGATTTGTAGATTTAGGATATCTTTGTCTGCAGATAATTTTCCGTGTTGCACGGAAAGTGGTCCGTGGTTGTTTTTCCGTCAGGAGGACATTGACCTAGTGACGTCTCCCAAACCACACGTGTCTTTTCTGGGCCCTGCTCTCCGTTCCTCCCTCTCTTTTCGTCTTTGTCTCTGTTTGACTAGGCTGGTTGGTCCGAGCCATGCTGCTCCACCTACACACAAACACAGAAAAGAGGTAGCTCTAAAATGTACAGCACGATAAGTGACAAAGTGGTTGAAGACGTTTCTGTTAAAAGGGATACAAGATACATGCTAATGTTCCATAAACTCTGGCTCTGCTGTCAAATACTCATGTTTGATTTTGATTTGAGATAAAATGATTTAAGAAATGCACATATGCATTCAGGCATGATGGGACTAGTACTTCATTTTTGCTTACCAAAACATTTTCAGTTAAATTAACGTTCATATAAGCTGTTCTCAAACTGGAGTAGGCTTTTCCTTAGTGTAATAAAATGTAGTAAAACTTGAGTTGAGTAGACCTTTGTCACAGCAAAAATACTTGCGTCTACAAATGAACAAATGTGACATAAAGTATATTAAAGGGTCTACTTACTGTTGACACCCTTTGCAGAGGAGGAGGAAAGTTTTTCTTCTGTGAGGACTTCAGCACTGTTACCAACAGAATGCAAAGTTAAAGAAAGTTGAATTAGCTGCAACGCAAGAGCAACTGAATGAAGGCTCAGGTGAATAAGCACTGGTTTGTAGCAGAATGTTTCTAAAGGAGGCAGCTGCCAATCACCTGTGGGATAAAGATGAAGCCGGAGGAAGCCTCAAACCCACAGAGGTCTCCTCCTCGCTGCTGTGTGACCCCTCTCCCTGAAGCCTGCATTGACACGAGGAAACATGTTTTTTTTATTCACCATAAAACACTAAGCGCAATTAAAGTAATAATAGTAATTAGAGTACAATAGAAAACTAAAACAACAATGACTCAACAATCACGACAGAGTACGTTCTTTTCAGTTGGTTTATGTGCTGATTTGCTTCACTGTTTATGTACAGTGAGTACAAGTCCTAAGTCAGTTGGAGTATTGATACACATACTAGATTGTAGCTCCTCAACTACCGCACAGCCCCCACTGCTCTGTTCTAAATTCTTTGGTTGTCTCACCTGTTAGCATTTGTGTGTTTTTTGTATCCTCTATATGCTTCATTTCCACTGTGAGCCTGCTGAAGAGAGAAGAAGAGTCACAAATATGGTGCAGGCAGGCACTACCCATATCCCCACGAGAAGGTGAGTTGCTGCAGTATTGTGTGCATAAGCCAATATTTCTCAGACTTTAGTGTCATGTTACAACAACATTATGAAAGTAGCTTAAGCGTTGTCAGGAACTTACTGAATGAGCGTGGGAGTGTTTGCCCAGCGTCTTGGTTTCTGACGTCTGCGTTTGACTGGAAGTAGATGCACAGCGTGGGGTAGTGCTGTGCTTAGGGGGCAGGGGTGGAGCTCTAACACTGGAGCTGTAAGCCGGGTCATCCAAACTGGAGAACTGTTCGGAGAAATGTTGGCAGCTGTTTGCTTTTTCACTGGCATACAGTATATTGCTTTTTAGTGGCAGGAGGAGACTTTGAGGATGAGGAAGTAGAAGTAAGAAAAATGTATTCTTCATCCTGATGACTGTCTAAATAAAAGGTTAATGAATGACAAGATTTATTACAAGCAACCTTGGCGGGGGACGTGGAAATTCAGGTTTTACCACAGTAATAAAATTCATCCTTGAGGCATCATGAAGTTTTCCAACAACGTCCAAAGCAATCAATGCAATGCTATTGTGATCTGGTCAAACGTGGCAAACGGACTGACGGAACATCACTGACATGGCTTGCCTGGCTCAAGTTATACCCAACAAATTTGTATGGTAAGGAATGTTTACTCACTTTCCTCAGGGCAGCCATCTCCTTCACCATCAGTTCAATGTCCTCATGGTCATCCTCCTCTGCATCTTCCTCACCCTCCTCCTCCCACTGACCGCTGCCTGGAAGGTACGGCTCGATGAGGACCGACTCTGTTCCTCTGATGTCACAGCGGCAGTAAGGGCAGTTGTGTCCAGCTGACTTCTGCTGGATAATTATCGATGACAGGTCACAGGCAGAGTAATGAAAACACTGTATGAAAGTCAAGTGTCTTTGTCATCCATTGTCTTAGGAAAAACACTGGATGTCTGAAAATAGAAAATACTTAATTCAACAGACACTGTAGATTGCAGTTATCTACTTATGGACACCATAAACGGGTGAACGAGTTGAACACTTGACTTTTTCTTACATGATTTAACTTATTCTTTGATTTTAGGACACATTCTTTTGCTATTCTGTTGATTCCTGTGACCATTAAGAAGTCTGTCCTTTTTTATTGACCTGATCTTTTTAGATTGCTAACCAAATATTTAAATTTGGCCGTCACACCTGCAAAAAGATGAACAATAATTTGTGCAGTACTCCTTGGTCCTACTTCATGTTATACAATGTTGTATCATTTGTATTTAAGATGCTGCATCCTGCTACTCTTCATCAGCTGCAAGTGTATGAACGTCTTTGCTACTTCAGAAATTAAATGCCTTGTATTTTATTCATTGTCGTCTTGTGTTGTAAACCTGAGGAAGAAGTTAAGTTGACTACAATCAAAAATAACTTACAACTTTTCCATTGTGGTCTGACGTCCACAGAGCACATCTAATTTTCTTTTCCTGTCTGACTTTCTCTTTCTGGGTTTCCACCTTTCACTCTCTCTCTCTCTCGCTCTCTCTCTCTCTCTCTCTCTCTCTCTTTCACATCCAAGCATTTTTTTCAAAGTGAATGCGCAGTTTGAGGAAGATGTGAACCTGAGCTCAAACAGGAAGTCTTCAGACAAATATCAGGACTCGCTGCTCTTCAGCTTTATGTAGATTTCAACCTTCTGAATACACAGAGGGCTAGTGGGATTGGTGAATTTAGGAAGGAGGCTTCAGTTTGTAAGTGATTACTTAAATTCTGAATGGATGTCTTCAGTGTAACTAACTAATAGAAGACGGTCAAACATTGTACATAGATTTTATTACCGTTTAAAACGGTTCTTGTGTAATCAAATGTTAAAGAGGTTTTAAAAGTCTACAGCTGTTTTTGTTGCCTGTGGGAACTGGAGAGTTTACACAAATGTTGATTCAACCACTATCTGTGCTGTCTTATACAAATATTTCTCATTTTAGATACTTGTCAAAGAGATAACCTTGTTGAATCTTGTTTGGTTCATATACTGTTGAAGAAAATGTATATTCAAGAAGGTTTACTTCTCAAATTTATTGAAATGTTGCATATCTGATCAAACTGGACATTTAACATTTCAATGATGTTTCAATGAATTGTGCAAAGAGAAACTAAAAATCTATTTTTCTCTTTCTTCAAATGTGCAAGTTATCCATGGAATTAATTTGTGTGGGTTATTTTGTATGACCCAGCATTTAAATATCAATCATATGCTTTGGTAAACTCAGAATAGTGCTGACATCAACTTCAAACCACATAAAAAAACCCACAGCATTGTTAAATCATGTAGGGCCTAGACCAACACACAAAACATGAGGGTGCTGATTTCAAGATTGGCGTACAAAAATAAATCTATTTTAGTCAACCCAGACTGTTTCACTCCACTAAACACAAACTGTTACTGTAAACATCGGTCTTTTTTCAGCATGTCAGTGTAGAGCATTAGCTGGTGTGCTATAGTGAGTATGTGGGCGGGGCTTCATACCTGCCAGCCTATGAGGCAGGGTTTGCACAGGAGATGTCCACAGGGCTGGATACGTGTGTCCTTATCCCTCTCTGCACAGATCTTACACAGCTGGAAGGTGCTGCCAATCTCACAGTAGAGCTCGTACTCCTCCTGTTGGATGTTAAGACAGAGAGGCAATGGGACATCTCAGGATATGATCCATGATTTGTTGTGGTCTCCACCTCAAGGATGCGGGTGGCAGTTTTCTAAATAGATGAGGAGGTACAAAGTGCATCCTCTTACTTCTGTAACTTTGACCTTGCCCTTCTGAGCTGGCTCACTTAAGGTCGTCAGGTCGGGGTTCACATCTCGGCCATCTGGGTACAAGTAGCTGCAAGAACAGACACGCACGGTGCTCAGAGTAACGACACAAACAGAGAGAAAGCAAACCAGTCACCTGTGTGTGTGTGTGTGTGTGTGTGTGTGTGTGTGTATATGTCCTCACCAGCCTTCCTTGAAGCCCTGAATGAGTGCCTGGTAAAGAGGTGTATTCTGGGGGATGGTTTGGACGATGTTACCATCATTGGTCACATGGCCGATAGCCCACTGGCCCATTCTAGTGCAGCTTAGACGAAAGATGTAGCTGGAAAGAAAGAAACCTTTGTACATCAAGACACATTTAAAAATGATATTTCCACTTTTAAGTTCACAAACAACAAACTGGTGTAAAAAAAGGTGTAAAACTAAGGTGTAATTGCTGCCAGTGCATAGAA